GGCCCTACTGACAGCAGCCTTGCTGTGCGGTTTGCTGCTGCGAGGAATCTGGCCCTGTGGCTGTGTATCCCCCAGCAGAACTCACACACATCTGCCCCGATGAACCCCCCCATCATTTTAGCAATAGCACGTGCTGCAGGTAGTGCTTGCTAACTTGAAAGGGAGGATGGATTCTTTCACCAAAGTGGAGACGAAAAGCATTCTTGTCCTGGATGATAGGTAGCGATTGTGCTTTGGAGATCATTTCGTTTGAGCAACCTCAGACATGAGTGCAGACTGGGAGAACTCACTGAGAGCAGCTCTGTGGATAAGACTTTTGGAATCCTCGTGGACAAAAAGGTGGACAGGCACTGGTACAGCTGCCCAGAGAGCTGTGGGTGTCCCATCGTTGGAGATGCACAAGGTCAGGTTGGATGGGGCCCTGGGCAGCCTGATCTGGTGGGGGGCAACCAGCCTGCAGCAGAGGGTTGGAGCTGGGTGGGCTTTGAGGTTCCTTCCAGGCCAACTCAATTCTGTGATTTTATCGGATCTTAAAATTCTGTGCCCACAAGGTGAGTTGTGCATATTAGCCTTTCTCTTCTGCAATGAAGTAGTGATTATGATAACCATCATCTGGAGGCGTGGTTGTATATGGCCAGAAGCAATTTCTTTGCTCCTGGAATCTCACTTTAGCTTTACACTGCCTTCAAACCAGTCTGTTTCTAATATTTATGATATGTAAGCTGGTAGCAGCCTGACCTCTGCCCCTGCTGCAGGGAAATGGCAGGTATGCTCTGCTGTGGGATCAGGTTCTCCACCTTGGACAAGGGGAAATAAGGTCTGTGTTTAAAAATAAAGCCATCGCTCCCAGGTTTGTTACTGCCACTCTGTTTATGGACATACAGAAACAAAAATAAAGGTATGAGCACAAGGGAGGAAGGTCAGAATAGCAAGTGTCAGAAGAGGCCCATGAAATCTTGTTGGTGGTGCGTTTAATCGGCGCTAAGCATTTTTTTTACAAGGGACACACAGATAGTGGAACTGTAAAAAATACATGGAATGCTGTGTACAGTGTGACCGTTCATGAAGAAATTAATGTTTATATCCATTAGAAGGAAACCAAAGGGGAATGTTTAACGGAGGCTCCTCAGCAGCGGGGTGCTGCAAATGAGACCTGGCAAGGGTGGTTGGGGTAATTCACATGGGCAGATAGACCGGGTTCTGGATGCAGGGATGTATTTCTTGTTTGTCTATTTGTATGATGGAAAGGAAACAGAGGTGAATAGCTGCTGCTGGTGTCTGGTATGAAGCTTTTGCTCTTGGGCCCCTTCCAGTCAAACAGTTTTTTCAGCAGCCCTTAATATCCATCTGGGAAGGGTTAACTGAAGCCAATCACTTTGACATCGGTGTCTTTTTGTTTCCTTTTTGGTCCAGTATTTTGTTGATGATAAAGCACAGACTTAGTCAATTGAGAGATTCCAGAGCTGCAGAATCAGAGATAATTTAATTAACGGAATTGCTTGTGATTGCCCACTGGGACAGCGGGTAGGAATTGCTCGATTTAATTTGGAGAAACAAAGATCACATGCATGCTAATGTTTGACAAATAACCAGTGTTTGGGTTAAAGTTTTTTGCAAAGGGGAGGCAACCTGTTCCCCGGGGAGATTTCCCAGCAGGTGCTTGCTGAGTACCAGATCAGAGGTACAGATAGGTCCTTTTTCTCTTACATGGCGCTTTTGTGCCCTTCTCCTGGCCTTTTACGTGAACAAAAGCAAGGATTTGCTCAACGAAAGTAAGTTTGTTTGTTTTTTTTTTTTTTTTCTGTACTGACAAGAGGAAGAACTTGAATGCTTTGAACAGTAGAAAAACATGTATTGGGCACGAAGACTGGAAAGTGCTGGTCTTCCCAGTCTCCCAGTAGACTTGCTCCATGATACCCAGCATCCCCAGCTGTGACTGCCAAGTTTTGGGAGTCCATAGGGAAGTGCAGGACCAAGCTTCTTCTCTGAAGAGCCCTTCCTTCACGTTTCTGTTCTGGTGTAAATGTTTGTGCTGAGGCTCCCATATTTGTGGTGGAGGTAGGTGTAGCTTCCCAATAAGAATGGGATATGCCTTCTTGAGTTGTCCTCTGCCATGGAGGAGATGATGAGGCTGCTCTGCTCCCTCCTTCCTGGTTGGAGAAGCAGCAGCGCAGGGCTGGATGCATAAGCTCCTTGCAGCAGTTGTGCTCAGCATCTCTGTCCTGAGGCTGGTGAATGACGTTATCCAAACATGTGAAATCAGAGCATTGAGGCACAGAATTGCTAAAATGGTTCTCCCACATCCAGACATGAGGTCAAGGCAAAGCAGGGCTCTGGAGCCAAATTCCTTCTTCGTTGCCATTCCTTCAGCCTCCCTTGGCATGGTGGCTTGTGGAGTTCGCTGCACTCTGGCCTTGCTCAGCCCTTAAAAACGCAGCACAGGCTGCTCCCAGCTGTCTCCAAGCAAACTCGCATGAGGTGTGCATGCAAGAGGGAAGCATCAGGGAATTCCTGAGATTGCTGCTGCAGGAAGAGTAGCTCTGAAGTGATACTTATCTTTAGGATACAAGCAGCAGGTTGACGGTAAAATGTCACTAAATGGAATGGTATGTGTCCCAAGTGTGCTGGCCACCACGGGAGCCAGACACATGGGAAGTGACTCTCGTCTTTATTCCATCCCTGGAGGTAGTTCCAGTTTCCTTTATTTACTGATGTTCTCCCTATTTCCCTTGACCTCATTTCCTCTGGCTTTTCGGAAGCAACCATGCAATTATCGCTTGCTTTGGGTTGACCCTTGGCCCCCATGTCCCTTGTTGCTGCTGCTCCAGGAGGCTTTCCTGAAAGCTCAAGTGCAAAATACTCGTGGCCAAAAACCTCTCTCTTGGGAGCTGGGAGCTGTGCTTTGGGCAGAGGATTTGTCCTGAGAGCACACTTAGCAACAAGAACATGGAGTTTAAAGTCTGTTACAGCCGAGCTTTGATCAGCGCTGGGAGATACTGCTGTGGCTGAAGCTCCCTCTTACCAATGCACCCCAGTCTTGTTAATAAATGTATATTTAACAATGTCTGGAGCGTATGAAGTGATAATAACTAAATCAATACCTCCCACATTGATTGTCCAGGATCCCTACAGCGTGACGCACGCAGCAGTGCGGTAATTTTCCAGCTAACTAGCACCCTGATCTACAGCCCTCCTATTGATTGGCCATTGTATCAGGCAGCCTCTGAGCATTATTTCTTATACCTCTATTCAGCCTCCTTTTCTGATTCATTCATTTATTAGTGGACAGGTGCGATTATCTCAGAGTCTTTCCAAAATTGGCTGATGGGGGTCAGCCATTTAGGCCTCTATAAACAAGCCATTTTGTATCTCCTCTAGTTGTTGCAGTGGCAAATTCTTCCCTTTCGAGCTTTGACCATTATTGGGCTAGGTCTGGAGATGAATTGGCTTTTGCTCAGATCTGCTCAAGGATTCCTCTTTTCCCTCTCCTTACTGAGTCGCTTGCTCTTCAAAGGAGAAAGGACAGTTCCATGGATGGTAGGGAATTTAGCAAGGGTTGAGGTTCCTGCTTGCTCTCTGCTTTGGGCAGGAACCTTGCTTGCTGCCTTCTAAGTTCCAGTAGCCTCACGCATGCAGGAAGAGAGAAACGGATTCCAGAAAGTCAAATTCAGCTTCAGCCTTCATCTAGCATCAGCTTTTTGACAGGGCAGGCTGGAAGGGAAATGATTTTCTCATCCCACAGTAATCTTTAAGTTATAAATAAATAATCCTATTCCTCCCTCAGACAAAACTAACAGCTTTCTACACTTTCTTTGAAAATTCTGACAACTCTCCCCCGAGGGTGAGAACCCAAACTGGGATATGATAATAATTTATACCAACAAGCGGGAGCAAGTGGATGTTTCACAGCAGGGAGCTCCGTTTCCTACTAAAGCTCTTTCATTTTGCTCCAAAGAGTATTTGTTGATACCAAGACTTGAACACACAGTGTCCCTGTCTCCACGTGGTTGCCATCCACCAGGCTATGTTGAAACCTGTGTTTCTTTGCCTTTTTTCCAGTTTATGAATTTCTGCTATTTTTTAGTAACTCATTTGCGATGAATCTCCTTCTGATTAAAGAGAGCGAGAGCCTTAATGTCAGTGCAATACTCTGCAAACCTTTCCTGGGGAATGCTGGAGGGCCCATGCCTGTATCTGCACTGTGCAGAAATCTGATTTTGCAGCATGCTGGAGTGACACATCCTTGTCTGTAATGCTCCCTGCATCTCATTTGCTAAGCATTACTGCCTGCCCTTGCTTTTAGGTTGGCAAGTTGCTTTTTTCACCAGCCTTGCAGAGCCATGAAAACACACTTGCCTGCCCTCAGCACAGTGCCTCTGTGACAAAAGAGATAATGCTGCCCATCAAAAATGACCCTAGGAAATGGGAAAGCAGTGGTTGTAAAGCTGCTTTTATAGCCTCCCTGTTGGCACTTTTGGTTTTGCTTTTGGTTTTCTCCTTTTCAGTATTAGAAACCAACAAGCTAGAGCAGCCTGTGTGGATCCTCTGTAATGCAGATCTTGTGTTTCACAAGTCTGATGGTCAGCAGCGGCCTCCGTTCTTTAAGGGGAAGAGCAGCTCCTGTTGCCCATGCAAAGTTAGCTCACCAGCTTGGAGGAGCGCCCAGAGCCTTGTCCTGTGTGTTTGGTCCCATGGAATCGCTCACAGGAGACAGAAAACAACTAACAAAATCTATTATTTAAGTGTTCACGTCTTGCAGAAACTTGCTTTCTATGCAGTTGGCAGCACTAGTCCTGTTGTGCTGCTGTGGTGTGTTTGGAACTGCTTAGTAGCAGACCTCCAAGAATTCACACTGGGTTTTTCAAGGACTCTTTTTCAATGCATGTTTGAATCTTGCTCACTTTTTCCTCTGTTGCTCGCCTGTTGTGAGATCCTTTTCCCTCTGAACTCTTCACAGTTTTGTGTGCTCAGTGATGCTCACTCTCCATCATCTTTTGCAGAATTACAGAAGACTCTGCAGTGACAACATTTGAAGCACTAAAGGCTCGTGTCCGTGAGTTAGAAAGGCAGCTTTCCCGTGGGGACCGCTATAAATGTCTCATTTGCATGGTGAGTAGCACTCCACTTGTGGTAATGAATCAGAAATGCCCTGGTGTCTTTGCCTTATCTTTGCTAAGGAGGGAAGTTTTTTTCCTTTCTCCTTTTTCTGGGGAGGGGAGAAGTCACCCTCATCCCTGTACGCTATGAAGAATCTCTTTCCTTTTGAGTGTAAGTGCCTTGTTGTTTTAGAAATTGGATTTTCTGTGTCCATTAGATTGCTCCACTGACTTTTACAGCCAAGAAAACCCCCACTTTGGAAAGCTTTCAGGCTCCCCAGAGAGAATTCCCAGATACCAGTGTTCTCTTCTCTTTCTATACATAAAAGGGTACATTCCATGATCTGAGTGAGACCCACCCTGCGATTTGGGAACAAGAATGTTGCCTGTTTAAAAGTTGTCCTGCTTCCTCTGTGGTGATGCTGTAGCCTCCGTAAAGAAAGGCAGCAGCTCCCTCTGATGGTGTGAGCTTGCAAAGCGTTTCATCTCCTTGTTAGGTCTTCATTCTGCTGATGGCAGGAGAAAAATCTGCTTGGTAGAGGGCTCCCTCTGCAACTTGAGCTTGATGCATGGTGCTGTCTCTCCCACCTGTGACTTGTGGGTATGGGGGTAGCAGTTCCCCTGCCTTGTCCCATGAAAGGCACAAGAGTTCACTGCTGATTTTCAGGGGCTTATTAGCAATCATGGAAAGCACTTGAGCGCTCTGCTGAAGTAGCAGCAGCGTTATTGGGATGTAGTTAAGCTGTTGCTGCAGAGTAGAGAGTTGTGATAAGGGTTAATCTTACCCTGTTGCTGTTTTTTATATGATCTGGTGACCCTTCTGATGAGAATAACAGCAGGTGGCCACGGCAACTTCAGATGCTCTTGCGATAACTGTGCTGAGCCAGGTCACCACTTGAGTGGATTATGGGCTTCCAGCAGGTCTGAGAAGCCAGAGACTTTCTACCTCTGCTGTACAAACATTGCTATCTCTGCTCAGTTCTTAAGTGGAAAGTCAGCAGAAGTTTGTTAACACGAAACCCTCTTAATTCTGCTTTGTTTTTCCTTTGCCTCACGCCTCATGGTAGATCAAGATCGGACCTCTCTTGCTTGGCTAATGGATCATCTGTAGTCTGATGCCATCCCTACAAAGAACAGTGTTGCAATGGGATTGGGAATGAAGAATCAGTAGATTCCTGCTGTGGAAATAACCTATTTGCTTCTTCTCATTCAGGACTCCTACACAATGCCCCTGACTTCCATTCAGTGCTGGCATGTGCACTGTGAAGAATGCTGGCTGCGGACTCTGGTGAGGCTCTTAGCTACTTTCTCATTGACTAACAGACTTCTCCCTCTCTTTTGGGATACTTTATTTTAAATCACCATGGGGAAAGATGCTTTTTGCTTTATTTTAAACAACCTAAGTGCTGTGCATGCAGGCTTTAATGTCTTTGCCACTTAACACCTCACTCTAGCTTTGATTTCGGTGAGCTTTGTTTGAGTCATCATTACCAAAGCATAATCCTGCTCACTGCTTGCTCTTCTGCTGCTGTGAGGGCAGCCTTGCCTTCCAGCAGTGCCCTGTGTGGCATCCATGCAGAGGGAAAGCTGTGGGAACGGAGGCCAAATCCACTGAGATGCAAGGAATACGTAGCTTCTGGGAAACCTAATATTCACCTGAAACAAAGCGAATCGTCTTCAGGATAGACAACAGAGACAGAGGCTTTTATGAATATGAATCAGTGGGTTTTGGATTATTTGAAACAGTGCTGTGCAGTTTCCAAGCTTACACCATTCTGTTTGGAAGATTGGGGATTACCTTGAACACTGAGTAGGTGACCCAGTGCAGTGGTGATTTATACATGTGCTGAAGGACATCAGGTTGAAATTTAAGGTGTTATTAAATATGTTGTTTTCCTTTCCTTTGTTAAAACTGGGGGCTTTATAATCAGCTTTTCATTTCCCCTGTGCAGCTGATTTTCAGGCTTTCACTTCACTCAGTCAGTTGTGCTTTCTAGTTCTCTTGTTAGCAAGATGATAAGGCGTTGGGCTGCAACAAATGTAAGGGAATGCCACTCCTAAAAAGTGTTCCTGTAAGGCATTACAAAATCTACTTTATAGAACATGTTGTGTTCTTGGAATTACGATTAAGCCAATCTTGCTCCTTTAAATCCTGCCTTTTAAAAATCTTGTCCAAGAAAAGTTACCAGGATGGTGAAGTGCCTGTGGGCTTCAGTACTAATAGCAACTCAATAACTTGGCTATCCCTTGGGCTGTATTTTATAGCTCTTCAGCTACACCCCGTCACTACTTAGATTATACAAGCTTTTGTAAACATTTTAGCAGCATGTTATAAAAGACACATATGTGGCCACGTAGCTGTGAGGTGTTTGGATGAATGTGCGCTCTGCCACCTTTGCTAAGTGAGGACTAATCTTGTTCCTCTGCAGTGCTTCAAGCAGAGGATAAAACACTAATTTCTTTTTACTCGAGTCTCTGCCGTCTCTTCTTTCCAGCAGCTGTAAGTGATGTTTTAAATCTGTCACGCCAATTTCAGATTGTTCTTAGGCTCAGCAACTTCAGTCAGGTCCCTTTCTTTCATGGTCATAAGAACTGGAAAACCTCACTCCAGGTGCTGAGGGGTTGGCGTGTCTGGGTACCTGTGGGGAGCACACGGCTCTTCTGCCGACCGGGCGGGATGGGAGCAGGACAGCAGGACAGCAGGACAGCAGGACAGCAGGACAGCAGGA